TTCAAGCGATTCTCCTGTCTCAGCCTCCTGAGTAGCTGGGATTACAGGCACGTGCTACCATGCCCAGCTAGTTTTTTGTATTTTTAGTAGAGATGGGGTTTCACCATGTTGGCCAGGCTGGTCTCCAACTCCTGACCTCAGGTGATCCACCTGACTCAGCCTCCCAAAGTGTTAGGATTACAGGCATGAGCCACCATGCCCGGCCATCAGCTCCTTTCTCTTAAGTGCTTCTATCCTAAGTTCCCTCCACAAGAAGGCGTTCTTAGTAGGTCTTCTTCATGGCAATCAGTACTCTTTCATCACTACTTTGATTCCCTGTTAAGCATCTCTCTTCAATGGCTCCCCTTTACCTTGGCACCAAATTCCCATAAAGATATAGTGTTCCCTTTCAGAAAAAGGCTGGTGTTGTTCTACTAGTCAAAGGAAAGGGAAGTCGGCCGGGTGCGGTGGAGGCAGAGGCTGCAGTGAGCTGAGATCGCACCATTGCACTCCAGCCTGGGCGACAGAGCGAGGCTCCGTCTCAAAAAAAAAAAAAAAGGAAAGAGAAGTCAAGAAAGAAGATACATTGAGATTAACATCTCTCTCTCCACCTGTCACTAACCACAAATCTATTGCCTTGGTTAAGTTTTGGGAGGGAGGGAAAACTTTCCTACCAGTCTTATAAGGGACACCAAAACTATAATTAAGACCACAGCACTATTATTATATTACACTGGCTTGCTTCTGGATATAATAAGTAGTTTGTTCCTGAGAAAACAAAGTACTAAGTAGTAGCCAATGGTCCAAACACATCTGTCACTTCCTACACATCCCTACATGAGCCCCTTGAGGGAGAAGAGCTGTCTATGCCTCTTGAAATCCCCCAGCAACTTCTACAATGTAGTAAGCTGTAAGTGCTCAATAAACGTGTCCCATGAGAAAAAAGCTGTCTGGAAATCAAGGCTTCTTTCTCCTCCTAAAGATCATGCCATTTTCTCCATGATAGATATCCTTGCTACATGACTGGCTATAGCTCTCAATCCCTCTAGTTTGTTGGCATTACAGATTTTTTTATTTCTACCATCAGTTGCTTGCTAAATATGTCTTAGGGGAAAGGGAGTCCCCTACAATTACTGCACTGTTTTAAGTGATTTTAAGTTACTATTGATAGCACGTGCAGTTTTCCCATAATAATTTATCTATAAAATCACTCCCTTAATTGATCAAGCATCCGTGAGTTGTAAAGTTTATTTTGGAGCAAAAGAAACAACCTCACACATCTGCTCCAACCACAGAATGTGACTGACCAGGGTTAACAGGAACATTAGTGCTTCTGCCCTGTGAGTTAGACCAAAATTATTTGTCCAATGTAATAGTTAAGACCTCACAAGCCCAAATGAAATACCAATGTTAGGTAAGCTACAGCTGATTTGATCCAGCCAACATCTCTAAAGTCATTTGCTTTAAATTTTCAAAAGAGTCAGGGTGTTAATCTTATTATCAGAAGAGCCAAACATCACATTTATGACCCATCACAGAATGCAGATCCTTTGCCCTTAAGTCAGACAGTAGGTCAAAGGTGTAGATAATCAGTAAGATTCTGGGAGTATAAGTAAAAAGAGAAAGAAAAGTTGATTTAGAATTAAGTGGACTTAGAATTACTGGCCAGTATTCAACTATGTGAGAACCTGACTCACTCCTGAAGGGAAAGCTGTGCCAGCAACTGCTGCCAGGTGCTCCGAGTAATGAATGCATTCAACTAGCCAATTTAGAAAGAGCGTTTATTTCAGTCTGGTCTACTAACTGCTCTCTGTTCTTTCCCAGAACTGGAGATTCAAGCCAAGCAAGGTTGCCCATTCCAGTGACAGGAAATGGCAGATATGATTAATAACTCCTTGTCATCTAAATCACTCCACTGTTGGATAACTTCTAGCCCTCCTTAATAGTCTTGTGTCTCTTGCAAATATAATTTAATTTTACCTTCTAATATTTTGTGGATGATGAAACTGTGAGCCAAAGTCACTAAGTATAGTTGCATCTTATTGTTAAGTCAATTCTTTATCAAATTTGCTTAAAGTTGCCTTTGAAGTTCCATTAAGTCAGACATAAAGTACATGGTACACAGTCTTTCACATTAATATTTACATATCACAAACACTCATGTACCATCTTTTAATAAATAAAAAGCAGCTAGTTTTCCTTCCAACATCAGAACAAATCTGTTTGTTCAGCTATACAATAAATGAGGTAGTTGGCTTCACATTTGGGGTCCGCGGTATTTGAAAAAGTCTCTAAACACTAGAATCACTCTCAGGACAGCAAGAAACTCAAAACCATGAGAACACAAAGGGAACCGAGACCACCTGAGTACACAGGTAGCTCAGTGGGGCTGTCCTCACTGAACGAACACTGAACACAACTGCATGCACTATTTACGTGGCACCTTTTTTGGTCCCAGTCCTGTACAATTGTGTAAGATGATGCAACAGCACTGTACCTTTCATAAGATCCTCCCACTGAGGCTGTGATTCAGGCAGGCCCAGGACCCAGGGTTTGCAGCGTCCCACTCTGGGAATTTCCAGAAGGTCTCGCTGTTCTCAGTTCATTTTTCTTTCCTGTGCCTTGCAAAACATGCCATATGTTAGGTCTTCAATGCTTGACTAAATACACTGCAACCAGATTTGGGAAAGGTATAAACTGAACACTTGAAAATCTAAGTGTCACAAACTCCCTATTAAGACCAGGCAAGATCTCAAAATATTTTCCCTTCACCACCCTATTCCTTTCCATAAGGCAAAGCCCTAATAGTCAATAGGGAAAAAAAGAACTCATTCATCTGTAAGGAATTGAAATGCTACATGCAAAACCCAAGACTGGAAGTTTAAGAAAAGCCTCATTTGCTTCCAGTACAGTATATAACGTTCCTTCAGGAGGAGTAACTCAGAAAGGCATTAAAAATGTGGGAGACCTCAGCAGAAAAACAAACACCGGCATAGTATCTAGGGAGTGAACGGCTTAGTGGAAATGAAAACATTACACATGTGTACATATGCTCTATGAGGCAACGTGTATAGACAACTAGAAAAACCACACAGCCTACTTTTCTCTATAGTCACACAAACTCATTGGGTAAATGAGTTAGAAAAGAAGAAATAAAATTGCTCCTTTAAATCAGAATCAGGTAACTGCTTAAATACATAAAATACCAAATCAGAAGAAAGGTCTAAAGATATAATTTTGGTAACTTCAAAAAATTCAGCCTCTTTTGACAATTTTAAATAAGATTTTTTTTTTCTTGCTTTGTTTTTGTTTTGTTTGGGAGGATTACAGTTTAGGGATAAGCTTTTCAAGTTCACTGTATTTATTAAGTTTCCAGCACCAATCCTGAAGTCTCGTATTTCACATGTCAGAGTGATCTGCACTAGTATTTTGAGCAACTCTCATTTTATGATCAGATGTGGCAGAAGTTTTCCTACCCATATTAGTAAGAGTTTTCAAACATTTTTTAAAGGAAAAAAAAAAAAAGGCATATCTTGTGGTGCTTCTTCCCACCGCTCCATTGATTTGTGTGGCAAGCGTTCCCACAAAATTCCCAGGGAAGGGGTAATTTTCAGTGTCACAAACCCCATTCACAGCAAGGATTTTCAACTACACCCTAAAACCATGATGGTTCTGGGTTCCTCCAACTTCACTGGGTTCCTCAGTGAAGATCATCCTGCCTGAGAACTCTGAGGTCCTTTTCATTGCTGCCAAGAACATAAAACTAGGAGAGGGCATCTGAATGGTGAATGCGAAGTCAGCCTGCACTGTGAGCAGTACACATGATGAAGCTGAACTTAAGAACTGATCTGCTGGATGGATCCCACTGGTAGAAATGATCTCCTTGGCAAGGTTAAGTGTCACCCCTAAGGGAAGCCCTAAGTCCAAATGAGCCTTATTTATAAGGTATAATACAAAGAGACCTAACTTCTAATAGCTAAGTGACCTCCCATCCCAAAGCAGCCACTCTGGGAGACCACATACACCATAGCAATGCTATCATGGTTGGTAACAAGGAATCTCTCTTTGGAAACAGCTTTCTAAGCTTCTAGCATTTTTAATACCCACAAGGTAAACCTTCATCCTTTGGGGCTCTAGTTCATTGTGCTAACAATTCAAGATCAAATCTTGTGAGCCAGATGGTATGATCCAGGTGGATACTGTAAATTTTCATCAGTATCAAAAACAGTGACTACAGAATAATGACAAATTTTTTGTGTGGTTCAGAAGCTGATTCCAAAAGTGACTGCAGAACTAGCCAAAAAGCAACAAGTTTGTACTAATAGCTACTATTTATTAGATAGTCTGCAAAGCACTGTGCAACATTACATACATTATCTCAATAATTTTTTTATGAAAACCCCACGAGGTGGATATTTACGTCCACATCTACAGATAATGCAAGAGTTTCTGAAAGAATAAGCTACAAACCCCTCTGACACACAATTTACCTATTAAATGAACCTAAAAGTTTAAAAAAGCTGGGCGCAGCGGCTCATGCATGTAATCCCAGCACTTTGGGAGGCTGAAGTGGGCAGATCACTTGAGGCCAGGAGTTCGAGACCAGTTTGGCCAACATGGTGAAACCTCGTCGTTACTAAAAACACAAAAATTAGCCAGGTGTGGTGGCAGGCACCTGTAATCCCAGCTACTTGGGAGGCTGCAGCCCGAGAATCACTTGAACCCAGGAAGAAGGGGATGCAGTGAGCTGAGACTGCCACTGCACTCCAGCCTGGGCAGCAGAGTGAGATTCTGTCTTGAAAAAAAAAACTTAAAAAAAAAAAAAAAAGAATAAGCCACTTGCCCATGATCACGCTGCTAAGAAAAGTCAAACCATAATTTAATCCTAATCTGTCTCACACACAAAGACAACCTTGACAGGAATAAAACTTACTTCCATGTAGGAGAGATGCAACTCGTCAAAGAGAAGCAGAATCACTTTATCACATACAGAATCAGTGTCATTACTGTCTGAAAAAAGATGCTCTGCACAATTCTGCCAATGTATTGATTCTGAACCTGCCATGTCTTCAAAAATGGCATTATTAGTGAAGCTGCTCAACAAGCCCTCTGAAACAAAACAGCTAATGAAATGGGTATTTATATTTAGTCTAAACTATACTTTTAGGACTTTATCTTATAGCTCTATCCTGAATCGATATGTTTAATAACATTAGGAATGAGGTTATCATTGTAACAGCAAAAGAACAACCTAAGCATTCACCAGTAGCAGATTAAATCAATTATGTTGTATCTATTCAAAAAAATATTAGGCAGTCAAAAAAAGAATGAGGTTCCTTGCTACTTACTTGCTGATATAGAATGATCTCCATTAAAAAAAAAGAAGCGAGGGTCAGACCTCTGTGTATAGTTACTATTTGTGTTACACATGTTTGTTTAGGCACAGACTCTTTCTCAAAAGTATAAGGCAAAGTGGTAACAGTAACTTGTCAAAGAGGAGCCAGGAGCCAGAGAACAGGGGTGGGAAAGGCCCTTTACGTGAAATTACTTTTGTATCTTGTCCTATGGGAAAAGTTAATTATTCAATTTTTTTTAAATTTAAAAACAATACAAGCTGATTATACATTTGACAAATACAGGGAATTTCTGACTGCAGGAAAAAACAAAGCATCAACTACAAAGAGAAGCAGAAATTCTTCTTGAGCTGCTGATTTTACTATACATTTGGGCTACATTTTTTCTTAAGAGAATCACTACAAAGTAATAGTACAAATACCTTTTTTAATGTGAAAAGGTATAAAATCTCCTTTAAAAACTTTTCACTTATCCATCACATAACATCAAATGTACCTGTAATCCCAAGTATGATTCTTCTGAGAAGGAAAAGTCAGATCAAATACATCATTAAGGAAAAACATGCACACTAAATAGACTACGAACTCTACTGAGACAAAGACCATTATTTTGCATATTTTTTCATTCCCCAATTCCTGACAGGATTCTCAGAATCATTTCTTAGTTAATGAACAGCAAATTGACTCATTGGTTAAATTAGCAACTACAGAGCTGCCTAACAGCAGTACAAAATAAATGAATAATTCACCAAAACTAGCTCTAGATATTAATTTTAATTACTCTGTAGCAACATAATTTAGTACCAAATGTTTAAAAAGTACCCATTATAATTGCTAAACTGTGAAGTCACTATTATTTGTATCTGACCAGCTATACAAAACTCATCCGTTTTTCTCTTGACAAAAGGTAGTAAAAATCGCAAACAATAAAGAAGACGCTACTCATTAAAAGTCATGTTTACTAATCTAGCACCATAATTCCAGTCTTAGAACCTCCCATGCAGTTGGAAAGGGAATATGGGAAGAGGTGAGTATGTTGGAAATGTAGGGTAGTTCTCAAATTGGGGCCCCATTTTGCTTGCTCTAAAGCAAAAAACACAGGGTCTAGCAAAGAAGAGAAGTGCTGAGGCTGGAGTCGAAAACAAAAGCTTTTGGTTCAGATGGTAAAGGAGGCCCTCAAGAGCAGTAGAATCAGTGTATCCCGAAGGCAGTGCTGGAGGCAGTCTCATGCACTAGGGGGTTTCTTCTTGGCATCCAAGTCCTTTTTAATTTCTTCAAGTTTTTTAGCCAGGTTTGGTATCTTTAAAGAGAAAAAAGATTATTATAATTTTGCATCTACCTAATCAATATTCTTGTACTTCTTTTCCTCCAAAGATAAATGGTTTTACAAGCTTTTATCTTCCTCTGAAAGAGATCTCCTAAACAGTGGTTCTTTTTGCTTTCTTTTTTGAGATAGGGTCTCTGTCACTCAGGCTGGAGCGCAATGGTGCAAACATAGGTCACTGCAGGATTGACCTCCAGAGCTCAAGCGATCCTTCCCGCCCCAGTCCCGCAAGTAGTTGGGACCACGGACATGCCACCACGCCTGGCTAATTTTTGTATTTTTTGTAAAGATGGGCTTTTGCCACATTGCCCAGGCTGGTCTCAAACTCCTGAGCTCAAGCAATCTGCCCACCTCGGCCTCCCAAAGTGCTAGGATTACAGGCGTGAGCCACTAAACCTGGCCAATAGTGGTATTTCTTAGCCTCATAACTGCATAGAAAGATATCAGAAGTTGTCAGATAAGTATGCTCCTCTCTGAAAGCCACTTCTACTTTTGTATACCCACTTCCACTAGATCTGGTGCCAAGTAAAGGTTGTGCGTATAAACAATAAATGTGACATAATATAGCCTTTGCCTAGAAAACTATATGACTCAAACGAAGGTTGACAAAGGAATTCCCTTTGTCATACAAAAAGCTTTACAACAAAACAAATCAATATCATGTTTCCCTTGCTTGTCTTTTTCAAACACCTGTCCAGAATCCCCATTCGTAGGCTGCTGCACCACCTGGTTTTCAACATCGCCATCTATAAAGCGAGGTTAATACAACTTCACAAAACTCTGTCCTCAAATGTGCTACCCTTAGAATTTTGAAGATGGAATACAGATCTATATTTTTCAGTCCCCCTACCCAGATGCATCTCCAAAATTCTAAGTCATCTCTACTACTGGGTAGTGGGGCTGAAAATATTATCCAATTAATCTTTAAACTCTCACTTATCACATGATTTCCCTAAGAATTTTAAGAGCCCAACTTAATATTACTCTGAGCTAACAAGCCACAGCTAAGGATCTTCATGAGCCCAGCTGAACTGAAGGGATTTTTCCCTCTTGTGGTGATACGGAAGAGGACAGATGTTTCATGAGCTGTATTACTTTTTCAAACAATGGCAAACCATTCTACAACATTCAGGAGTTTGCCTCAGCCCTATGGACCTCATTTATGCTGGAAGTCACACCTTACCTCAAACAAAGAAAAGTCACTCTAAAACAGTTACATGGAATCAAGGTAGTCATGGATATGGCCACTTACGTCATAGTTCTGAGCCAGATACATTCCAACCACGTTGCCCAATGTAAATCCAAGCTGAAAAAATAGAATAGTAAGAGTTACAGTGCATACCGAGTCCTGTGCCAGTATGATTCCAAATTAAAATACGAAGACAGTATCTTCCTAAGAAGCTTAGGACAGTTAGAAGACCTTAATGTCCAGTCTAGGGCTGTGTACAACATGAGAGTCACATTTTTCTTCTATAAACACAGAGATGCCCTCTCCAGAGGCTAAAGAGTATACAAAAGAATAAATGGTGACACCAACCAAATGTAAGAAAAAAATAAAACCGCAAAAAATAATAAATGGTAACACTGTATAAATCTACCCTAAATTCTCTTATCCTCTCACAACTCACATAAATACTTGACTACAAGTTCTGGAAACTCAAGCCAAAGTTCAGATTTTTCTTGTGGAATGCTGCAATTTTTTGTCTTTTTTTGGTTATGGATATTGTTATTCCTTTTCAAATCAAATAAAAGTTATTCATAAAAGTTATACTATAAAAATACTTTTTAAAGTATTCACTCAAGGCCGGGCACAGAGGCTCACACCTATAATCCCAGCACTTTGGGAGGCCAAAGTGGTGGATCACTTGAGGTCAGGAGTTTGAGACCAGCCTGGCCAACATGGTGAAACTTCATCTCTACTAAAAATACAAAAATTAGCCAGGTGGGGTGGCTCACACCTGTAATTCCAGCTACTCGGGAGGCTGAGGCAGGAGAATCACTTGAAACCGGGAGGCAGAGGTTGCAGTGAGCTGAGATCATGCCACTGCACTCCAGCCTGGGAGACAGAGCAAGACTCCATCTCAAAATAAATAAATAAATATTCAGCCAAATCATAGGATCTCAGAGAATGAAGGGACTCTTCACAGTTTACAATCTCTTCATAGTTCAAACAGAGGACCTTGAGGCCCAGGATGGAAAGGGACTTCTCCAAGGACATTCACAACAAGGAGGACAAGACAATCTACATTAGCTTCACACTCAAAAACTAAAATATGTGATGACAGAAAAGAAGAGAAAACTCTGACACACCACTGAGAGCACATATGGCTTAGCACTCTGCCACAGGTAGTCTAACATGCTAACAGGTACAGTCTGGCAGGACATTAAAGGTCGGTGGGAAACACAGTGACAAGAGACAGGTGCAACATTTAGAAAACTTTAAATATTTATCCCATTTGGTGACTATTTTCCTAAACAAAAACTAGTTCATGAAAATTTAGATATACCCAAAAGGGCCAAGGCTCCTCAGCTTTGAGTTTTAATGATAATAATTCCCTGTTTTCCTCTGGTAATTAAGAGGCTCCATCTAGAGCTTAATTTTTCATTTTATAAATTCAAACTAGTATGAATTTTTTTCATCATTTTCTTTAATCAGTGTTGCTTTTACTCAATCAATACACAGCAGAGAGGTTTTAAAAAAATTAAGTGTGGCACTTAACACCATCAATCACACATGGCGTGACTGAACCTTATCTTCAAGTTGGAGATGCACATAGGGGAACAGAATGCAGCTGGGTTCTTAGTACGCTTTAAACGTACTAAGCTTGAAACAACAAAAGCATAATTTAAATTGGTTTGTTATTAGCAATAAGAAACATAGAAGAGGCTATCTAATCTCTAATCATAGACCATTCTAATCATTTGATTAATCAGATATGGCCTGCAAAATCCTACTTTTACCAATGTTGCACCTTGAAGCAGAATGATTTTTTTCTCCTATGGGTTGAAACCAGGTAGGAAGAGGTTTTCCAAATCCAGAAGGAGTATTAAATTTGCTTAAAAGAAGAGGAAAAAAAAAAACAAAAGAAAGTATTAGCTCTAACACCAAAAAGAAAAAACATGGGATTTTAAAACTTTCAAAAAAAATAATCGAGTTCGGTTCCACCACTATCAGGCGGTGTGCCTAAAGCAAGACACTTAACCTCTCTGGAGCTTTGCTGATTTGAGCTTCCTGATTTATAAAACATTATACTCACAATGTAATGTCCAGCTCCAACATTCTAAGATTCCTAGTTCTTACCATATCTGTCTCTAAACAAATGTGGCATGTCTAACGTGGCTTCATTTTGGCAACTTCGCCAGGCATCAGGGCACATGAAAACTCATGATTATTTTAAAACACAACACAAAACAAAAACCATAAGCCTCTAAATAGTCATATCCAATTCCAGTTTCAGAATACTACCAAATCTACCAAAGGGGTATTGTAAGATTAAATACACAAGAAAAATGTCACTAAGGGAAAAATGCATGAAGCCAGAAAAGCATATACAGTATGTTGTTCATGGGATGGTCAATAGGCATGTTTACACACACAAAAAAAACCTAAATCTGAGGAACAGTGACTCAGTCTGAGAGGTTAGACTGGAGTCAGATTATAGGAGGTCTTGGATGAGTCTGAAACCTCTTTGTAGGCCAAGAATGCCTAACATCTTCCTGGCCAAGACCTGGAAACCTCATCAGTAGTTCTGTCAGGTGAATGCCATCACAATGCCCTGCTTCCCCTACATGGTCACCCGTTAGTATTCCCTGTAGAGAAGACTGTGGCATAAGGAGTGCAATGCCTTCTTCCCAAGCTCAATACTAAGTGCATGACTATCACACCCTCTCTGCAATAATTTTGAGACTTTAGGGGTATAAAAAAGTAGCTTCTTTTCACAGGAACATTGGGGACAATTAATGGTACAACACTGCAAGTTTGAAAACAGAGGACTGAGATGAGGAAAGTAGTGTACAGGAAAAATAGATGGGAAGAAGATGCTGGAGCTAAGAGCCCCAAAAGGGAAGTCTAGATTGGCACAGAGCAGTATACAACAGAAGAATTGCATTGTCAGCTCTATAAATAGAGAGTACACTAAGAATCAGTGAAGCTCCACAATCCATTATCCACAATTCTGAAACCCAACTCAATCCAAACTACATTACATCATAACTCATTTGGTAACAAAAGCATACCTGACCTGAACTAACAGCAGACTATTTATAGTCATTATCACATTTTAGTGTGAATAATCATTTTTTGCTATAGCAATAGAAATCTTTAAATATAGGATCCTGCCTTAGACCTCCTCACTGGAGAATATGTCTCACAGCAAAAATATTAATACATTTGATTACAAAGTGCTATCCCAGATGCTGCTGGGGGTGTTAAGTACCGAGGTACATGATGCAGCTTATTACTTTTCTAAAATCTAAAAGAAATCTGATTTCCCAAATACATACGGCCCCTAAAGATTTTGATTAAGGGACTGCAGACCTTAATATACTAAAAATCAACTTCATATTTAGCCCCATGAAAGGATTAAAAATGATCTCTGCCCTTAGATAACTTATATGATGAATAGGAAGAAATGTTAGGTAAAATAGTTGTATAACAACAGAAGGCAGGACCCCGCACAGGATTTTCAATGTTAACAGATGCTCCAAAAATCAGAACTAGGCCATGCATTAAGTGGCAAAATGAATGATACAGAAGTGATTCTTTTAAGAAATCATACTTGAAAAATATGTACCTCAGGTTGATATTAAAGGCTCTAAATATGCTAAGTGTTCACATTTAAACTGGTGATATGGTTTGGCTGTGTCCCCACCCAAATCTCATCTTGAATTCCTACATGTTGTGGGAGGTAACTGAATCATGGGGGCAGGTATTTCCCATGCTGTTCTCATGATAGTGA